AAATGGCAAACTGCTCCAGTATCTTTGCCAAGACAACCCTGAATGGGGTCATGAAGAGTCAAACACAGCTCCACAACAAAGCACCAAAACATTCTGTAGATGAGGAAGCTGAGACTGAGAGCAGGGAAGTGATTTCCCAGGTTTCTGAACTTAGGTCTGTGTAAGAGTGCTACAGTGGGATTCATAGCCTCTCAGAGTTAAAAGGGACATCCTTTAGTTCAAGCCTTACTTGAAGTGTGTGTTGGTGTTTGTGTGAATAAAGGTATATTTGGGAGGAAGAGACTCCCAAAGAAATGCTGGGGGTGAGGTGGGGAGGCTTTGTCGGAAGCCAGGAGAGAAAATCCTCCTCTGTGTCCTGATCTTTGGAGAGATCCCCAGCCCAGGGGCCTGGCGCCAGGATTAGCCAGCAGTGGAGAAGGCATGTGGTACAGGGAGTCTGGGTTTGGGTGGTGGGGTGGTGGTTTCTGTGGTCTCTCAGTTTCGCAGCCTGTGTTTGGCACGCCATGTTCCCAGAGACCCCAGGACTGCCAACACAGATGGAGCATCAGCCAGCTGGGCAGTAGGATGGGTGACCATTACGGCATCTGTCCATTCCTAGCTTGCTGGCTTCTTGATTTCTGTTGGCACCAGTCTTTCACAGAAGCCTGTGCCTGTAGGCAAGAACTCTCCTGTGCTAGTGTCAGGAAGCAATTCTAGCCAGCAGCTTGGCTGAGATCTCAATTGCCATTGGCTTAAGTTAGTGGCAGTGTGGGAGCTAGATCTCATGTCTCTCAAATCCCTTTCTCGTGCTGTTTTTGTTCTGCCATATTGCCTCCTCTCCTTTCCCTCCTTTCCTCTTCCTTTCCCTTTCCCATTCCTCATCCCCATTTCCATTCTCTTCTCCCTCTATTTCTTCCTGGCCTCCCTCTATCCTCTCCCTTTATTCCTAGACATCTGACCTGAGTTTGCTTACCATGTCCCTCTCTACTCCTCACTCTTGTCTCTTCCAATTATCACAGACCTAGACTCTCTATCACCTGGCTTTTCCATTGCTTGCTAGTCCTGGGCCAGGCCCCTGGGCTGAGTGTCTCTCTGTTAATCTGGGCCCTGAGGAGGATGGGATGCAGGATAGATGGATGAGGGAAAAGTGTGTGAGGAGCAGCCTTGGATAAATAAGATTAGCTTAGGATACCTGGAAGGAAAGAGAGAGGGTGAAAGTGGATGAGTGTTCTTCTTGGGTAAACCCACAACCTACTCCCTGGTTCAGGAAAGGAGTGTGGTTTGGGGCAGTGTTTTGGTTTGACCTGATCACTGTATACCAAGAAGATGGCCTTGAAGTCGACTCTGTTTTGCTGTTACTTACCGTTGCTTTTCCTGGGGGAACCTCAGGATGACTGGGCCACAGAAAACAAGGAAACTACTTTGTTTAACACATAAGCCCTTGAACAAGTGAGCCCTAGTTTGATTTTGGTTTCATTTTTGTTAAAGAGCAGAGGAAAAAGAAATAGAGTGTAGTTGATTTGAGCTTGTGTTTTTATCACGTGAGAGTAAGTAGAAGCACCAGGAATCCTTAGGTTTCTTTCATGCTTGGCCTTATTGGATGGAATTGTGGGAGTGAAATTAGAGATGGTATCATCCCTAGAAATTTCCCTGGGGAGGGCAGGCATTGTCTGTCAGTGTTTACATTCTGGTGGGTGGGATTGGAGACCGTACGTGCGCCTTCAAAAGACAGTAGAGTCGTGGAATCCCAGGGATGGAAGAAGCCTTTGAGAGCATCCAGTGCAACCTTCTCATCTTACAGAGGGGAATATGGAGGTCCAGAGAGGATAGGTACATGTAAGGTACTAGGTACATGTACATAGGTACATGTAAGGAACTAGAAACTGAGCTGAGACTAGAACAACCTAGGTTCCAGCTGACTGTTCCTGCTACATCTTCAGTCAGTCAGTAAACGTTTATTTAGCACTAGGTGCTGTGCTAAGCTCTGGGGATACAAAGAGGGGCAAAAGACAGCCCCCCCATTCCCCTGAGAGTGGTGACCAGGCTCCCTTGGTCTGAAGTTTCACATCTGCCACCTCAAACCCAAACTGTAGAAACTCAGGTTGCTTGGCCCCCATATCAGTAATTTCTGGAGGAGCCTGAGCTGTGGCTGAGCTACTTGAAGTTTTCTGAAAAGGTATTGATGAGCGGGTCCTTCTGCCTGCTTCCCTGGGAGAGTCTGAGGGCCCTGGGTAGCGTCACATAGTTACAGCCTCACAACAGCCCTGAGAGGTAGACACTGTTATCATCCCCCTTGTACAGGTGTGGAAACTGAGGCACATAGAGGTTAAGTAACCTGTCTAAGGTCACACAGCTTGTAAGTCTGAGTCAGGATTTGAACTCGGGTCTTCCTGATTCCAAATCCTGGTGCTCTATCCACTGTGCTCCCTAGCTGTTGTTAATACAGCTCTTCCAGTGCCATGGGAAGAAAGTTCTTTCTACTCTCCATAGGGGGCCAGAGATGGCTAAAACCTTCCACTGGAAAAAAATGTAATAGTAAAAAAGTAAGAAAAGAAAGTCATTGAAGCATCTGTTTTTAGCATTTGAAAATATTTTTATTTCATTAAATATTTCCCGATTATATGTACAAGATTTTAAAAATTAATTATAGATTTTTAGTTTTCATCATTCACTTTTTTTTTGGGGGGGGGGGCTAGGCAATGGGGTTAAATAACTTGCCCAGGGTCACACAGCTAGTAAGTGTCAAGTGTCTGAGGTCAGATTTGAACTCAGGTCCTCCTGACTCCAGGGCCAGTGCTCTATCCACTGTGCCACCTAGCTGCCCCATTCAGCATTCACTTTTGACCATTTTTTTTTTTTTGGGCAGTTGAGGTTAAGTGACTTGCCCAGGGTCACACAGCTAGTAAGTGTCAAGTGTTTGGTCTGAGGCCGTATTTGAACTCAGGTTCTCCTTACTTCAGGGCTGGTGCTCTGTCCACTGCGCCACTTAGCTGCCCCCAGCATTCACTTTTATAAGATTTTGAGTTCTAAATTTTCCCCTCTCCCCTCCTCCCCAAGGCAGCATGCAATCTGACATAGGCTATACATGTTCAATCATATTAAATATATTTCCACATTAGTCATGTTGTAAAAGAAGAATCAGAACAAAAGGGTGAAACCATGAGAAAGAAAAAAACAAAAAAGAGAAAAAATAGTATACTTCGATCTGCATTTAGACTCCATAGTTTTTTCTCTGGATGTGGATAGCATTTTCCATCATGAGTCTTTTAGAATTCACTTAGACCATTGCGTTGCTGAGAAGAGCAAAGTCTATCAAGGTCAGTCATCACACAATGTTGCTGTTACTGTGTATAGTGTTCTGGTTCTGCTCACTTCACTCAGCATCAGTCCATACAAGTCTTTCCAGGTTTATCTGAAATCTGCCTGCTCATCATTTCTTATAGAACAGTAGTATTGCATTACATTCATTTGCCACAGCTTGTTCAACCATTCCCCAATTGATGGGCATCTCCTCAATTTCCAATTCTTTGCCACCACAAAAACAGCAAAGCATTTTTTTTAATGCACAGAAGAGAAGAGATAGAAGGAGGGGCAGCTAGGTAGCATACTGGATAGAGCACCAGACCTGGAGTCAGGAGGACCTGAGTTCAAATCCAGCCTTAGACACTTGACACTTACTAGCTGTGTGACCCTGGGCAAGTCACTTAACTCCAGTTGCCTCCCCAAAGGGGGGAAGAAGAAAAAAGAAAGAGAAGAGAGAGGTTAGTAGGAAACACAGACAAGCAGGACAGCTTTGAATATAACATGTTGAATTTGTATACTTGTGTTCTTGGAGGGGGAAGCAAGCTGGGCAAATTGGCAGCTGCATGCACAAGCCATATGGAATTGCTTCTCTTATTTGATGTTTCTTAACTTCAGAATTTTAAAATAAAACACATACACAGAGAGGGAAATTCTTGCTGCTCCTACTCCCCCCCAAAACAGTTGCCCAGGTAAAGGTTTGCAGTTCATGAGGCTGCCAGCATCCCTTGACCTCTCCTTTCCTCCATCTTTATGTCTCCGGTTCTTTCTGTGCAAATAGGATTCTCTCTTCCATGGCTGCCAGAGTGTCCATGGTGTGACTTGAGCCATAGTGATCAGGTGTTTCCCTGGCTCTGTCTCAGACCAGGAGGACTGTGAAAGGTATTGTTTGTTACCTGAGAAAAGATTTGTTCTGTGTACAGTAGCAATTTACTCTTGATTGGCTTCTATGGAGAAAGCTAGTCTGAGATTTTCTTGACACCTAGTAAAAATGGTGTGGCCAGCATTAATTGCAGGGAGTCTCATAGAAAGGACTTTGTGTTTTCTCCTAAAAGTATCTTTGGACAGAAACAGTAATAATAGACAACAATATTTTGTATTTGTCCAGTTTTTTTTTTCAGTTCTTTCACATGGCATGATAATTTTAAGGTGAAGCGGCTAAAGCAGTTATCTCTTTTATAGAGAAGGAAACTGAGGCTAAGAGTCTTGCCCAAGGTTTACATAGCTAGTTCATAATGGAGCCAGGACTATAAACTCTTGTATTCACAAAGGGTAGCTCCAGACAGTATGAAATAGAATGAGAAAAAAAAAATAATGGGTTCCCAGCAGGTTTAAATGTGTTTTTGTTTGGAGCACTGTATACATGTTTTACCTGCAATGAGATATGTAATATGTTTGCCCCCCCTTTGTGGCCCCCAAGTTCCTTCTGGCTAGACAGGGAGGGGAGGCCAGATGGTGAGAAAATCCCAAGTTGATGCAAACAAAAGTGTTAACCCACAAGTGGATCACTGAGATTGAACATAATTAAAATTTGTTCCTGTGTTCTGTGCCCAAGTGATCCACAGGGTCTGGGGACTGCCTTGTTCCCAGCCTCTTCCAGGATGGTAGAACCTGCAGGATTCCTGGACAGAGTCATTCTCAGTAATTCTCCTGCATCAGGGTCTGGCTTTTGGTTGCAGATGAAGAAGAATGACCTGTCCTTTCCCCTTGCTTTTTTCCAGGGTCCTACGAATGTGGAATATGTGGGAAGAAATACAAATATTATAACTGTTTCCAGACCCATGTTCGAGCACATCGAGGTAGGAGGCTTTTCTGCAGCCTTGGGCTTGGTCTCAGATTGGTGCAAGAAGGAGGGGGTGTGAGCGGTGTGAGAAGTTGATCCCTGTGTTTCCTTCTCCCCTTCTGCTCCCATCTCTCACCGCTTCTCCTTCTGACCCTGTGCCGGTCTCAAACTGGCTCTGTGCTGGGCAAAATAAAGATACAGAGCTTTGATCTCTACCTGCCCTCTTGGGGGAGACTGTAGAGAATTCAGTTCCTGAAATGGGGAGACAAGAGCCTGCCTCCTCTATTCTGAGCCTTGTAGAGTGTGATGCAGGTCATGGACTGAGGAAACTCAAGGCTGGTGAGAGGTGGGAACCAGCTGACTAGCAATCTTTTGAGCCAAACTGGTAGCCAGTGCAAATCCTGGGTTTTCTGAGTCTGGCCCGGAGTGCCTTTATGGGGGTCTGATTAGACTGACAGCGTAGGCTTCTGGTCTGTCCCACTCATTTGACACTTAGGCAATGCCAGAGTCCTCGATGATTGTGTGTCTCCGCTATTCAGCTGTATTGAAGCTCCCTGGGGTTAGGACCCATGCCTCAACTCCTCCAGCCTTCCCTTGAACCTAGTACAGAGTCCTGTGTGGGGCGATACTCAATAAACATTTGGTCCTGGTGGTCTCCAGGGGCCAGACTGGTGGCATGGCTTTTCTGGGCTGTGCTTCCCTATCTTAAGGGAGGGATTAGGTTATGGAGCCTCTGGGTAAGGACATTACATGTGATTGAACCAGGGAGGGACATTGAGAACAGTTAGGGCAGTGGCAGGTGTCTGATGGCAATGAAAAGTGATCTGCTCTCTCCCCTGTCAGAGTAGTGTCAGCCACACTCCCACATGCCTGCTTCCTGTGCCTCAAAAGCAGTTTTTCTGGTCCTCTGCTCCCTCCCTCTATGGACTCATCTGCCTGTCCCACCTTCTCTTACAGACACGGAAGCAGCCTCAGGTGAAGGAGCATCCCAGGGCAGTAAGTATCTTGCTGTCTTCATGGGGAGGAGGGGAGGGGCAGGGGAAGGCTGAGTTAGGGAAACCAGGTGAGGTTGATTCTTGGGAAGATCCCCCACTCCTTGCCTGATCTGTACCCCTTGCTTTTGAGGGGGTAATGTCAGGACCTGGGCCTGCTTGTCTGGAGAAAGCGGCTTCCTCTGGCCAAGGAATAGGCTACACTGAGCAGCAGCCTTGGGTAGGGGTCCTGACCAGCCTTCCCTTTTGTCATGGGGTTTAGAAGCAGTGCTGGACTCAGGATTAGGAGGTGGAAGTGGGGGGCTGGAGGCTGAGAACCTAGGTTCCCATTGCATGTGTTCAAGTCCATGACCTAGAACAAGTGGCTTCCCCTCTCTGGGCCTCTGTTTCCCCCTTTGTAAAATGAGAGGGTTAGACCGGTGATCTCCACAATCCTCCCCAGCTCTGAGTCACAGGAAGGCCTGCAGTCTGTCCTCCTGGAGCCCAGCGAGGGCACCTTCTGCTGTCCTCCTCGGCCTGCAGTTGTCCTCCCTGCTTTCAATAGCTCCCTTCTTTTCCTGGTCCGTTGATTTGCCTCTGAGTGTATTTAAAGAGTTTCCCCATTTAATCTTTCCTTCCTTTGCTATTTTGGGGCCCCGTGCCTTCCCTCAGTGGCCTGGTTTGTACGCCTCTTGGCTTCCTTTGTGTGGAAAGACTCTCTGGTTGCTGTGGTCTTTGTGGCCAGGGATATTTTTACCTCCTCGGTTGCTCTTCCCTCCCTCAGCCCAGTTACTCATTTTTTTCTCCCCATGCTTGTGGTTCTCTTTCCCGGGGCCTGCCCCAACTCAAGCATAGTACATGGGGCCAGGCAACTCTGCCAGCTTCCTACCCAATCACCTTTACTGCACAGCTGATCCAATGGCCTGGTCATGGTGTTAGTTAGTCATACAGTAGATGCTAGAGCTGAGAATGTTAGAGCCAGGGAAAGTCTTAAAGATCAGGAATGAATGAAGAGGAAAGGCAGGAAGGAAGAGAGGAAGAGGAAGGAGGAGAGGTGGAAAGGAGGGACGGAAGAAGAAGGCAAGGGAGGAGGAAGGAAGCAAGGGAGAGAGAGATGGAGGGAAGGAGGGAGGGCTTATTAAGTATTAAGCAAGGGCAGCTAGGTGGCACAGTGGATAGATCACTGATCCTGCAGTCAGGAGGACCTGAGTTCGAATCTGTCCTCAGACACTTACTGGCTGTGTGACCCTGGGCAAGTCACTTAACCCCTATTGCCTCAAAAAATCAAAACCAAACAAACAGAGCATGTTAAGCATGTGCCAAATACTTTGCTAAGCATTAGGGTTGCAAATAGATAGTTCTGTTGTCAGGGAGCTCACATTGTAATCTGGAGAGGCAGTCCATACAAGAATGTTCAGCTGCTGGGTAGATAAGAAGCCCTAGAAATCCTAAGGGTGCCCAGGAATACGCTGCAGGAAGCCGCTTGCCCAGGGTCAGAGATCTAGCTTGCAGCGTGTCAGGACTAGAACTCAGGCCTGTTGCTGCTCCATTTCTTGTGGACTTTGGCTGGCATCATCAGAAGCCCTTGCGGGGTTGCCCCAGCCTTAGCCGTTGTCCGCCAAGCTCAGTGTATCCATCAGGAATGGGGCTGCCAGCTCCCCACACATAGAACAGTTAGTCTCTTTGCCTAAGTGTTTGCTTGAGCACTTTAAAGCATAAGGCTGTGATTGTAATGTGCACATGAATAATGCACTCTTTGTTCCCAAGCTCAATTAATTAAGAGGCAGATGTTCTTTCCTGCAGCGAACACCGCCTGGTCACCCGTGGCCTTGGTGGTGGGTGGCAGGCGGGTGGCTTGTCCTGTGTTTGGGTTTGCGGTGACTGGCTGTTCCCTGGGAAGGAAGTGGACCTGTGAGCGTAAGGCATCCTGCTGGCGACCTGAAAGGGCAGTGCGCAGTGGAATCATCTAGTCCACCACCTTTGTTTTTATAGGTTAGGAAACTGAGGCCCAGAGAAGGGAATTACTGGTCCAGAGATGAGGGGAGCTGGGATTATAACTTGATTCTCCAAATCACTTGTCAAATGCTCTTCTCTCTATACCTCTACATCTTTTTTCTATTTTATAGGTGAAAAGAAACAGGACAGGTAGAGAGGAAGTGACAAAAATCATGAAAACTTGGTTCTAGTGTGTCTTTTTCCTGATCGCTCTGAGCTCTTGTAGCCCTGAATGAGCTCTTATGGCAACTGGAGCCTCTAATACATGATTCAGTACTTGATTCTGGACTCTCTAATAACAACAACAACAATAATAATAAGCTATCATTTATATTGTGCTTTGAGGTTTGCAAAGCACTTTACAAATATCATTTTGTTTGATCCTCACAGCAACCCCATGAGATAGATGTTCTTGTTATCCCCATTTTACAGATGGGGGAACTGAGGCAAATGGTGGTTAAATGACTTGCTCAGGATCACATGGCTAGCAGGTGTCTAAGGCCAGATTGGAACTCAGTTCTTACTGACTCTGGGTCCAGCACTCTATCTGCTGCCACCTAGCTGCCTCTGATCTATTAGAGTACGCCTCTATCTAGTGTTTTCCTTTCATTGTTTATTGCCTGTGAGTGAGTCTTGCTCTTCCCACATAGACTGTGAAAGTCCTTGAGGGTAGGAGAAGATCTCCGGGCTGGCAGTTTTCAGTTAAAAAGAAAAATGGTTCAGTAAATTCTTCTAGACTTAAGTGCTTTTTCATTGGAGTTTAACAGCGACTTAGGAGAAAATAGGATTCTGTACTCAGAGGTCAGCAGAGAGCCCAGTAGTTCCCAAAGCCCTCAGGAGTGGGCATTACCAGGTATCAGAATGGTCTGGGGATGTTTTCCATGGGACCCCTAATTCAAGTGATGGGCCTGCTATATAGGACAATGGTGTCAAATTAAAATAGAAATGGGATGCTCAACTATAACTAAAGACCCTGTGATATCTCAGAATGACTGATAGTAACCTGAGTCGTTCCTGACTGAGGTCAGCTAGCCTGCTGCTCCCATCCCTGAAAGGCCAAGAAGATTTTCACATTTCCTGTTTTCCCTCCACTGCTCCCACAGACAACTTTAGGTACACATGTGATATCTGTGGGAAGAAATATAAATATTACAGCTGTTTTCAAGAGCACCGAGACCTGCATGCCGTGGATGGTGAGTGGGGGCAACTCCTGTTTTGGGACTTTCCTGGGGATTCTGAGATTGAACAGGGAAGATTCAGGGCCTCCCCTTTCCTGTGCAGGGTAGCCATGGGCTACTCATGGTCTCTGTCCCCTGTGTCCTGCTAGAAAAGTTGGTTCATAATAGGGTCTCTTCTCTATTCCTTTCTTCCTCCCCTCATTGCCTCTCCTTTCTGTCTCCCTTCTCTCTCTTTTATCCTTTCTTCCTCTCAGTGGTTATTTCTTTAAACCATCTGTCTCCCTCTCGCCCTGCCCATGGCAGTTGTTGAGCCCTGGCCTGGAATGCAGTCCTGGCTATAGGCCAAGACAGAAATGAAGATAGGAAAGACCCTCACTCTCTAGAGTGGTGACCACAAATAAGTAGTACATTTGTTATGTGTCTGTGGGGTGCAAAGTGATAGACTGCTTGGGACTTCTGGGGACATACAAGGGGAACATGAGTGTGGCCCCATAGGAGGCAGGGTGATCTCAGGAAGATATCCTCCTGAAGGAAGAAAAGACGTGGTTGGACTATGATGATGCCCTCAACCCAACACAATCTCTCCCAGTTCTAGTCTGCATCCTGGAGATCTGAATAATGGAGATGAGTGTTGAATTAGGCCCTGGGATTTCTGCTGCACCTCCACCCCCATCATAGTTTTCTTGGCCTCTGTTTAGGAAGCTGATTGTTCCAAGAGTTGTGAGGTTCCCAAGAGCAGGTTGGTGGTGGTGGCCCAGGTCACTGGGATGAGGTGCCCCCAGACAGAATCAGAGCCCTTTCCTTGGAGTGAAATAATAGCACTCATTTGCTTCCTTCCTTCCCTTTGCTACTGCTGCCACCTCCTACCCGGGCTCAGTGTTTAGTGTCGAAGGAGCCCCAGAGAATCGGGCAGGTAAGTCCTCGGCCTCTTCTTCCCTTGTTCCTCCCCTCTTCCATGACCAGGGTCCTGGCCCTCACAGAGTGGCATCCTTGGGAAGCTAAATGACATTTGTTCTTCTGCAGACCCTTTTGATCAATCCGTCGTGGCTACAGATGAAGTAAAGGAGGAGCCTCCAGAGCCATTCCAGAAGATTGGGCCAAGTATGCTTACCTGGGAGGGAGGTTTCAAGGGCACGGGGGTTGTGGGTGGGTGAGCGGGTCCCTGTGGACAGGGCCAGCCATCCAAAGGGGATTCTGCAACAAGTGCCATAATAGCTACTAAAAGAGAGGTCAGGGGGATGAAGGGGGTGAAGGCAGGTTGACAGCGTTCAGTACGAGGTGCCAAGGCCTGATCCTGCTTCTCATTTTGTTAGTCACCTTTCCAATGTAAGGAATTGGCCAATGGGTGAAACACTTCGGACCTTGATGTAGTTATCACAGTCTGTCTTGGGCTATTTTCATTGTCTTCCATTTTCAAGTGATAAGTAGATACAAATGAAAGGTGGGGGGGGGAGAGAGAGAGAGAGAGGAAAGATTTTTGAAATTTTGAAAAGAGACCCAACTTTTGATATGCCACTGCTTGCAAGCTTGGGAGTGAAGGTCGGGAGGGAGAAAAGAAGGAAGGAAGAAAGGAAGGAATTAATTTCATGATTGCTTGCTATGGGTATGGAAATACAAGCAAACAAGACAGTCTCTGCTCTCAAGGAGCTGACTAATGGGGAGAGATAGCACATAGTATGGAGGCCTGGTTCCAAGAAGAATAAAATGAAATCTCTTCCATCAGAGCCTGGCATCCCTAGGCTCTGGGAGCAGGGAAAGTAGGGACAATGGGCATGATGGCCAAAGTGGAGGCAGTAGGACATAGAGCTCCATTCTCACGTAGGAGGGAGTTGATGTTGAAAAGGTGATGGCTCTCCCAATCCATTTTTGTTCTTTTCCACAGAAACTGGTAATTATACCTGCGAATTTTGTGGCAAGCAGTATAAGTACTACACCCCTTACCAAGAGCACGTGGCCCTTCATGCCCCCATCAGTGAGTATCTGCTGAGGGTGGCAGCGGCGGGTGGGCCAGCTGGGTGTGAATTGGTGGTGTGGTCCTGGGTTGGGAATTCACTGTCACCGACTGTCCTGGGGGGTACGAAATCAGCAAGGGGTTGGGACCGTGTGTTGGGTGGCACCTGCTGGTGGCTGAAGAGCCGAAGATGACATTGATTCTAGGGCTAACTCAACACCATCCTCTCTTCCTAACTATGCATGTGACGTGGAGCCACCTTGTGGCAGGACGTTGTCATAGCTGGCAGTTTCCATTGCTGTGAATTCTTAGCTAACCTGGTATACAGTCAGACCCCCTTAAAGCACCAGCAGCATGGTATTGTGGGAAGAGCACTGGGTTTAAAGTCAGAGGACCTGGTTCACATTCTAGTTCTACTGTTTAACTCCTTGTGTGACCGTGAGCAAATCTCTGGGTAATCTTCAGTTTTCTCATCTGTAAAATGAGGAAGTTGGACTAGTTGAGGTCTCTCGTGTACTTCTAAGTCTGTGATTTTATGATAGGAGCCCTTTGCCTGGGGAGCCTGGGGGGGGTGGGGGATCTTTGAGGAGGACAATGTGGATTATTGGCTTTTCTCAGGGGTGGAGGGAGGGGAGAGGAGGAGGAGTGACCTCATTCTTGGGCCTGCCTTGCTCTGGGGAGTGCATCTTCTCAATTCTTTAGCTGCGCAGTTAGTTACAACATGGCCCTTAAAGTTCAGGTGCCATGGATGTGGTCATGAGCCCTTAATTCCTAAAAGCCTAAGCTCCTTAACTGAGCTATGAGTTGGCCTGGGAAGTCTGCTGGGATGAGAACCCTGGCAGCCTCTAGTGGGGATCATTAAGATCTCAGGATTGAAAGGACCTTAAGGGTCATATGGTCCAGCCTTGTGCCTCCATGCAGGAATTCTCTCTGGGCCCTTCCGACAGGTGATCATTGCTTCCAGACTGTGTGATAGAGGTGACCCGGCTTTCCAGCTGGGTTTGTGGGAGGCCCTTTGAAGGTTCTGAAGGCTTTTTCCTTTTTCCTTTTCTTTCTTCTTCTTCCCCCCTTCTTCCTCACAGAAGCCTAAGCCACAGTGGGTACAGTTCAGAGTTAGGACCATGGATTCGTTGATTTAGAGCTGAAAGAAACCTTAAAGACTGCTGAGTCCAACTTCCTCATTTTACAGTTGAGGAAACTGAGGCCCAGAGAGGTTAATTGATTTGCCCAGAACCACATAGCTAGTATCTGAGGTAGGATCTGAAACCAGGTCTTCCTAATTCTAGACTCAGTCTAGGGCCTTTAGTCTGAACCAGTGCTGAGCCACCCTGATATCCCAAACCCCTTTAGTACCAGGGCTCTGGAAACTTATCCCGTAGTTATACTCATTGTCTGGAGTAAGGGGACAGTTTGTTGTAGTAGAAAAGACATTGATGGGCAAGCAGGAACCCTGTGTTTGTGTCTCATCTCTGCTCTTCATTTGTTCCCTGTCCTTGGGTAAGTCATTTCCGTCTGCACCTGTTTTCACACATGTAAAATAAGAGTATTGGAATAGTTGATCTTTGAGGTTTTTTCCGTCTCTATATTTTGTGATTTCCTTCTCTTCTCTCTGGCTTGTGTTTGATAGATAAGAATTTCTGATTTCCACAGTGGCCTCTGTCTCATTAACCCAGCTAGGGCCCTTGGGCTTGATAAGTCCCTTTCTTCTCTTCCCAGGGGTGGGTTCTGACTGTGACCTTCTGCTCTCTGGAGCTCTCGGGCATGGACTAGTTCAGGCATCTTGCATTAGGTCTTTGTTCATCTTTCCACCTGATCGCATGTCCTCTTTGCCATTCTGGGTCAGGGCCACTCAGAGAGTCTGAAGGCCCATGTTTGGTAGACAGGGGCCTTAAAACTGTTGGGCTTTCATGCCTTGTAAATACAGCAAAGGTGTTCCCAGTTGTACTCAGGCACCTAGAATGTATCTCTTACATGGAGATTGTTGGGCAGGAGGGTTCTTGGCATTTCCTCCTAGGGCTCTGGGGAGATTGGCCCTCTAGCTGCCCCACCTCCCTTTCTCTTCTGCACATGTGCTAGCTCTAAACCCCCATATGGGTACTACCACATAGGTATATTGGTATTTGGGATGGGGGTAAAAAGGGTGGTGATGACATCTTCTCCCTCCCCAGAGTAGCCTTTGTTCTGTGACAGTTTACAGAAAGTTGAGAAGAAAAGAAGATTGGAGATGTTCACATGATTCTTAGGTGTGAAAAGGGCAAAGGGTGCCCATGGATGAAATCTAACTTTCTTAGAGTGTTGTTTTCTGGTCTGCCATAGTACATTGAGTATAGGGATGGCATGAGGCTGGAGCTGAGAACTGTGATCTAAAGGTAGTGAAGCCAATTTCTTTGCCTTCCATGGCAATGGGTTGACCAGACCAAGCCTTGTGGTAGGTGGGAACAGCTTCCCTAAGAACTCCTGACTACAGCCTTCAGATCAAAATCTTTTCCATGGTGTGGTGAGAGGTTCAGGTGAGCCACACCTGGAAGCCTTTAAGAAGATAGCAAATAGCTTACACCCAGGGTTGAGGGCCATGAAAGTCTGGGAGCAGAAAGCCCAAAGGCCTCTGTAGAGGGTGCTGGATGAAGCAGAGGGTTTAATAGAAGGAAGACTATGTTTGCACCGGAGGACTTCTGTTGGACAGCCAGCTTACTACCTGTATGAACTTGGACAAGACACTTGGCTTTCTTAAACCTTGACTTCTTCATCTGTGAAAGGAGGGGCTTGGTCCCGGTGATGGTCCTTTAAGTTCCTTTCAGCTCTAACTCTTAGGGTGCTGTGATTCCCCCAATTCCCCTAATAATCATTCCTTCTGTTGTATTCATGTCATGAAGGAAACGTGCAGGCTATAGGACCATTCATCCATATGACCATCCAAGCACACACAGTGGGTGTGCTTCTGGAACCCCTGTCTGATGTTTCCAAGAGAGGAAGGGCAAAAGTCTACCATTCAGATTGTGCTTCAGATGCAGGGAAGGGAATCAGAGGAGTGGATAGTGCAGAGCCAAGGGCTGGTGGATGGCAGAGATGAAAGGGCCCATCTGGGGAGGATGGCACTGTGAGCGAGCTTCTTTGTGTGTGTCTGTAAAGGCACAAATACTCATTCATGCATATGTATCAGGGCTCACTGGGCAGAGGGTATCTGTCAGTGCACAGAAGGTTTCTGTCCGTGTGCTAGACAGAGGGTGCCTGTGTATATCAATATCCACCAGACAAAGGTTGTTTCTGTGTGTCATTACTCACTAGGAAGTAGGAATCTGTATGTCAGTGCTTACTGGAAAGATCTACCTGTTCACATCAGACAGAGGACATCTATTAGTATCGGTTTCCATGAGGAAGAAGGGCATTTGTCCATATCTGCTGGACAGAGGGTATCTGTGTGTCACTTCTTACCAGTTAGTAAGCATCTGTGCCTACCCAAAAGAAGGTATCTTGTCAGTTCCCACTAGACAGAGGGCATTTATCAGTTTCAAGTCCCATGTCTACTGGACAGTGAGTATCGATGCATGTCAGCACCCACTGGCCAATGGGCATCTGGATGTCAGTATCTACTGGGAAGGAAAGATTTCTCAGGAAGGTTGTCATCTTCACATGACAATGTCTACTAGGCAGATGGCATCTGTTAATGTTTAGCAGATAGAGGACCTCTGTGTGTCAGTGCCCACTGGGTAGAAAGCATCTTCCAGTGTCCACCAGACAATTGGATGCCAGAGGTTCCAAAGCCTGGGCTTTGGCCTGTAGCCAGATGGTGTAGCTGTGAGGTTCATGTAGGGAGAGGAGACTTAATGCCCAGCTCTCCCTGAGATGATCTTGGGAAAGTTTTCTTGGGCAAACTTGGTGGTGATGGGTGGGTGGGGTGAGGTGAATGTCCAGGAGAGTCTATTGCTCTGTTATATAGTGATTGGGGATAGGAGATTTGGCCTCCCAGGAGAGAGTGACTTTGCTAGGTCCCTCTTGCCTTGGCTAATTCTTATCCTCATCACGGGCCTCTTTCCTAAGGCAAGCCAGGTTCCCTTGGCAGAACATACATCCTGGGATTTTCTGTAAACCAGTACACAATGCCCTCTCCCAACTTGCCCAGTGACCCTGGGCCCTGAGAGTTAGCAGATTTGGGCCTCTCCTGCATGCTCCCTAATGGAGCAATCGGGAACATCTGCTAAGGGCCTGGGGAGGGGAGTATGTCCAGAATGTGTTTACACTCAATTAATTTTTAATTATGTCACTTAATAAAGTTGTTAACCAACTGAGAATATGCCTTGTCTTTATTTCTTGAGAAGAGCTCTGCTTCTGTCCTTCCCATTCACTTCCTCTCCTCCCCTCACCCTGCTCCCAACTTTATCCAACAGAACTTTTGCCTGGGAAAATCCGCTTCCTCATGGCCTGTGTCTCTGCAGAACCCTATTCAACCAGAGGGTTTTCATCAACATTTCAAACAACTCACTGTGTGTCTTTGGGCAAATCCTTTCCTCTCTCCTGGGCCCCACTTCTCTATCTGTAAAATTAAGTGGGTTAGACTGTATGGTCTCCAAAATCCCTTCTAGCTCTGAGATTCTGGGAGTCTAAAGAACAGATTGGGGCCTAGTCTAGGTGCCGTAGCATTTCTTAATTGTCCAAAGGGAAACGTTCCCTTGGAAACTTCATAGTTGCTTCATAGTTGCCTTCCTAGTCTTCTTTCCTCCTCATCTACTATGACACAGCCGTGTGTCTAGGCATGGTCTTCTCCTGGGCATTTGGGGAGACTTCTTGATCAGTTCTTTCCCTTTGGGCGTGGGGACTTCCTTTGCTGCCCTTCCAGCCTCAGCCAGAGTGGAGTTCTGAGTTCTTGCTCTCTGTCTCCATTGGCTTGGACTGAACCACTTTCCAGGCATGGTGGGGAAGCTCATCATAGTGGACCACATCCCTCATCAAACTCCACACCCTTAGAATGTGCGCTGTTGCAGCATACTGTCTTTAGAGATCTAGTATTGCTTACTCAACCTCTG